CTGGAGCGGCTTGGCCCCCGGAGCAGGGCTTCCTCTCGCCGGGGCTGTCACTGCCTGGTGCCTGCCCAGTGGGTCGTGCCTCTGCTCCGGGTTAAAAAGGCGTTGCACGAGCCATTTTTAGGGATGCAGCAGATCCCGGGGTTTCCACGGGATGCCCAGGGATTTGTCGCACAGACTTGGTAGTGCAGGCTCGCTGCCTCCATGGAGTTGAGCCAAAATAGCTGCTTCACAGGGTTTACCATGGTGTTCATGGGTGGAGTGGGGCTGGAGAGCATCCTCGGGCATGGGAAACTGGGATCCTGGCTTTTCGGGTTTGCTGCTGTGCAAGGTGCCCCAAGCTCTCGCACTGTATTGCGATGTGCTCCTAGTCTGACGCATCCTACGCTGGGAAAACAGGCCTATGCCATGGTCTGTCCTACGGGCAGCAAGCCTGAATCGTGCTCGGTTTACCCCTAAAACGAGCCTCCTCAGCCCAGCCACCTGCTTTGTCAGCCTGCATGTCAACGGGAGAGAAGGCCACCAAACGGAAAGCTGTGGCAGCTGGGACATAGATTTTCATTGCAGAAGAACAAGCAGTTCATCGAGGCTTGCTCCAGCGCCATTTCTGGACGCATTGCCGCTGCCTCTCCCGTCAGGTTGAACTTCAAGTTGGAGGATCTTGAGGCCAAGCCCCAAACTCAAGCAAAAAAGATGCATGTTTGCAAGGGGGCACGAGAACTAGGTAGACTACCACCGACGTAAGCAGGTTGTACTCGCAAACACCACACATGCATCCCACCACCTGTCTGAAACTCTCATTTCAGGGTGGTTTGCTGGTCTCCTGCCTCACAGCACTGCTGCCCTCCAGCAGCCTCTGTCAGGGAGGCTGAGCTATGCTGGTGTGGTCTGGAGGGCTTTCCTGGGGACCGCTCCTGCGTGCACGCCCCACGATGCCATGCTCTGCACTCTCTGTCTGACAGCAAAGATGCTGAACTGGCAAAGTGCTGACCGGTGGCTGCTGGAGTAGTGCATCAGAGGGAGCCAGGGCATGTGGCACTTTCGGGCCTTCGTCCAAGGAATGGCAGGTGGGCATGGGGCGCTCCATGGTCCCTTCTCAGCCAGCTGTGGGCACGCTGCCCGGCAGGACACCAGCACAGAGCTGGGAGTATGGGTAGGCGCCAGTGGGACAGGAGACACTGCGTTCCCACACATGGCTTTGGAAGGCAAGCCAGCAGCAGAGCCCCAACAAGCGTGCTGCACGCTGAGGAGACGCGTAGCCCTAGCTCTTCTCTACATTGTTCCCTTAGTTCATCCAGGCATTCTTTCCTTCTTTCTTAAAAAAACCAGGCTGCTTCACTCATCAGTGGGGGTTTCCAGGGACTCCCTCCAATTCTCCTCCCTTGTCTGATCCATAGGAGAAGAACTGACCAACTTCTGGCTCACCACCAAACGGCTCCTGGGGCTTGATGTGTCAGATGCCAGACAGAAGGACCTCTGCTTTTCCTTGCTCCACAGGCTGAAAGCCAAGCACCTGCATGAAGGCTCCAGTGTCATCGCTCTCTGCAAGACCACCCTTGGTAAGAAACATGGGAGCTGAGGATGAGCAGTGCCCTTCCAGCAGGGTGGACTTTCCTGGATGCTCCCAGGGAGATGAGATACCATCACCAGCTTTGCTTGGCTGGGGAACAGTCTATATGGAGCTATTGCTCTATCATAATCCCCTGCATCCATTTCAAGGTCACTGACAAAACCCAGGCACGTTCAGCCCATCAACACCAGGAGAGAGATCCTAAGCAAGATACAGGAACATGCCCTTTTTGTGATTCAGAGTTACTGGCTCCCTAAGTTCTTCATCCACTGCAAGATGGGCATGGAGTCAGAGAAATCATGCTGGCCTCTGCTGCAGGAATATCGAGAGCGTTTACTGCGATCTGTTCCCCCCAAGCAATACTTGCAGGAGCCCTCAGACCTTTCGGAGAACCTCTTCCCAATGCACATTAGAAGAAGCCAGGGTTTGTCAGGGCCCTACTGCAGCAAGACAGCCAAAGCAGAGGTCTGGACTCTGATCAAGGAGGGAAAAGACACCCAAGAAATAAAGATGCCCAGTTTTCAGGTGCAACCAGAAAGGCAGCCAGGGCCAGCTAGAACTGCTACACAAAGCTTCACAAAGGAATTGCATCTGGATAAGGGTGCTTTGGGACCGATTCCTCAGCAGTCAGAGCATCCTGCATACACTGCCTTCGGAGCCAAAGGAGGCACAAACTCTCCCAAAAGACCTAGACCCAATGCAGATCGGGTCCTTCACCTGGAAGACCTCTGTGAAGAGAATGCCCTCTCTAACCTGCGTTCCTCTACACCCCTCGTCCAGCTGCCATCTCTGAAAAAGCCAGCTGAGACCTTGAGTTTCCTTCCCTGGGCCTTTAGCGCCGAGTCCTGCACGGGACGGCCTTTCAGGGACTTCTTGAGGTGCCAGGACAAATCTATGGAGACTCGTCTCCTGGACCTGTGGCATGACCTGGAGGAATTTCTGCCTCTACTGCTGAGCCCCGGCAGAGAAAACAGTTTCTTCCTACGTCATGTGATTGGGGAGAAGATATGCAAGACCTACCTGGAGGACGACACCATTCAGCAGCTTCCTCTGGAGACCAGGACTCTCAGGAGCTTGTGGGACCGTCTGAAGTCTGGAGAATTCTCCCCCTGGATATTCAGAGCCCAGAAGGAGATTTGCAAGGTACAGAGCAGTTCTGGCAGTGGTCAAGCTAGGAGATACAGCTGACATTGGCATCCCTAGGCTGATATGAGGTCTGCAGGCATGTTCAAGAAGAGAGGTGTTTGGAAAACGAAGATGAAAAGAGATTAGGAAGGAAAGAACTTAGAGTTGCAAGCCAGCTAGTACTGGAACCAGTGACCAAGATGTGCCAGGCCAGTGGAGAGGAGCATCCTCAGTGGTTTGCTGGGCAGTGGAGCAGAGGCAAGCAGTCATTTAGCAGCTGATGACCTTGGTTGTTAGACCCATAGGCCAAGGGACACAGGATGGCAGGACGATGGCTGTCCTTTTGCATCTGAGTCACTGGTTCCAGCACAGCATGAGTAAAACACATTTACAACCCAAGCACTTCTGGGCAACCTCTGAGCAGCCCAGTTGGCCAACCTGGGCACATAGCTCCCAGCTGAGTTGTCCTGGGTGTCTCAGCCAGGTGTGACCTTCCCCATGGTGTCACTGCTGTGACCTCAGGGTACGGCAGGGCTGAGGGGTGCCGGTTTCTGCTGGGACACTGGCTAAAAACAACCCACCTTTGCTCCTCCTCAGGTGCTCTGCTGCTTCTACGAGGAATTTCTGGCTGACGATGACAGGACGTTCCTCCAGTTTATGGTAAAGGGGACGCACAGGGGACCCAGGCATCCTCGTGGGGTGTGCAGGCTCCAGTGGGGATGTGAAAATTTGGAGGCAGGGAGGGAGGGAGGGGAAGCCCAGCATTAGCTGAAGTGGTCCAGCATCCCACTGTGTCCCCCGGCCAACGCTGCCACAGGGCGATACAGCAGAGCCTGCTCTGGTCCAGATGCCTGGAGCGATGATCCTGCAGCATCCAGTAAGACAGCAGCACTGCAGGAGCACCCTGCGAGAGCTCACCTGAGACAGGCCACCATCCAGCCCAAAAGCAAGGAGACTCAAAAGCAGTCTTCCAGCGTAGGCGGGGGTGAGACCAGCAGCAGGCAGTGTGCACTGGGTAACTGCCCCATGGGCAAAACACTTCTGGGAATTAACTCTCTCCCTTTTTTCCTTGCCCACAGCAAATACTGCTGTTGATGTGACTCATGTGCAGACACACATGCATATGTCCCTGTCCCAGCACATGATACTGGGGGAAGAGGGCCTGCAGCCTTTTAGCCTATGATTCAAAGGTGCCCAAGTTTTTCCACTGTGTAAAGGGATGATTTAAGAAAGCAGAGTCACACACAAGCACTCATCTTCCCAGATTACTGTTCCTCTGGGCAGCAGAAATCCCAGTAATACCTCATGTTTATCCGCGCCCTAGATGCTGGTGTTACACCAGGAAACCTCCTCGCAGACCGAACACCCCCCAGCATCCCACCTACATCCCTGCCCAGCCCACACAGACAATTTTGCTCACTGCAGATGGTTTTTTTCAATCAGACCATTAGGCTTCTAGCCAGACTGCAATGTAAAATTAGCACCTGATCCTGGAAATGGTAAGGAGAGGCTGTCAGGGCTAGTGCCCCGAAAGACCTGGCTCACAGAGATGTCAGAGTCTCCATCAGCAAGAGCTGAGCATTTCGGAAAAGTCAGCTGGCAGCTCTTGACCCTGATCTGTTAAATGCTCCTGGTTGTAAGTTAATTAGCTGCCCAGGTTTTTAAGCATCTCTTATCAAGGAAATCACTCCTCAGAGCACAGCCCTGCTCTGGGAGTGCAATTAGCACTTCAGCAGGTGTCGAGGCCATGCTCTCCACAGGCACCATCCCCTGAGCCAAGCTCCTCCTGGGCCTTGCTGCGCTGATGTCAGGGGAAGCGCTTGGGGGCTTAGAAGGGTTATTTTCAGTCCTTGCTCTCAGCAGCGCGTATCTCACTCAGAAACCGGCCACTCTGACCCTGCTGTGCTGGGAAGCTGCTCGCTGGTGGGGAGGGTCTTAGTGGGGGGGCGAGGGAGGCCACAGCCAGTCCCAGGGAAAGGAGCCTACTGAAAAGGCACCTGAGGTTCCACGTCTGCTGGTGACACCTTCGGGGCTGTCTTCAGCTCTCCTGGGTGGATGTTGACCTCTTGAGGAAAGCTGCTGCCTTTGCTGGCAAGGCATTGTCTGGACTACCTGGGGGACCTGCTGCCTGTCCCTGGTACATCCCAGCTGCAGGCAGATGTGAGCCAGCTTTAAGCAGCTGCACGGGTAAGTTTAAGGTCTATGCCGAGCTTTGAGCTCACATAGATTTCATAGAATCATTAATGTTGGAAAAGACCCCTAAGATCATCAAGTCCAACCGTCAACCCAACACCACCATGCCTGCTAAACCATGTCCTGAAGCGCCACATCTACACGTTTTTTGAACACCTCCAGGGACAGGGACTCCACCACTTCCCTGGGCAGCCTGTTCCAATGCCTCTTTCAGTTAAGAATTTTTTCCTAATATCTGATCTAAACCTCCCCTGATGCAACTTAAGGCCATTTCTTCCGGACAGTTTAAAGCTAAATCAGAGACCTGACTTTGGTAGGTTTGCACTCTAAGCCACAGTAAAACGTGCAGCTAGCCCATCGGGCACACTGCAGGAGCAGCTCCTCAGACGGGGTATGAGCTCTGTGCAATCACCCTCTGCTCTTCTCGCCGTAGTTTCCGCAGGGTGAAGTCCCACTACCCGAGATGCTGTTGGGAAAGATGAATGTTTTCTCCTGTCCCAGCGGATAAATGAGTCCTTGAAGCTGAGCCAGGCCTTGCATGGCACGAGGAACTTGGAAGGTCTCTCCTCCAAACACTGGCAATTAATTGTCACTCGGGACCTCCGGAAAGGAGGCTCCATCCAGGCAGAGGTGGAACTTTTCCTGTCCAGGATGGGTAAGAGGAGGGTCTGGATTTCTGCCAAGGCTCATGTTGGCTCAGGCTGATAGACCATATTTCATGCATCCGTGGTGACCACTGCCCATAAAACACGGGCTTTGGTGCACTGCTATATTGCTGACAGCATGTGGACATCATAAAGTGGGTTGAGACAGGGTATCTGTGAGCCATGAGCTGTAATCCAAGCCTTGGCAGTGACTTATGGGCCAAATTCCCTCCTGGCAGTACCAGAGGTACCAAACACCACATTACTGCACTGGCCTGGGTCACCAGATCAAAGTGACTGAAACCCAAAGCCAGCAACAGCCACTGTCACCCCACTTCCACATGTTGACCTTGTCCTGTGGACACTGGGACTGGCCATGCTGAGGTAAGACCTCAGCTTTGTCTTCTCACATCATCTTTTGAGAATGACATCAAGTTTCTGGGTACTTGCTGGTGCACTGGGAGCCACAGCAGTCAGGTTACGTAGCTTGTGAGACCTCAATCACACCTGAGAAATGCCGTGTCATGAGCAGATCATGGGAACAGGACACACAAGGGGAAAGGGAAGGCAAGTGGTGATCATGATACAGCACTGGCAGCAAGTGCTGAAGGGCTGTCATAGCCAGGAGGAGTGAACATTGGATCTCTGCTCTTCTCTGTCTGATGCAGATTCCCAGAAGATGATGTCAAATGAGCTGGCTGGTCAGAAACCCTCGCTGGCCATGGATAGCCCAGGCAAGGAAAATGAGCTTCTGTGTCTCAAAAGCCCATCACTTGGTGAGTCCAGCCTAAGCAGGCAAGAAGCAGGGTGGGCCCCCAACTATCATGCCCTTGAAGGTGCTCCAGCTTACCCTTAGGGGACCGGACAAGCAGGGGTCTTCCCTGCTTGCATCCCATCGTCCGGTAGAACATCTCCAGAAGGAGAGAGAGAGGCCTAGCCACCTTTGAAAGGCATATGTTTTGGGGTGTTAATCCAGCCAGAGAGGGTGGGAGTGGGAGGGCTTCTTTGAAGCAGACACTGAGGTGGCCAAACCACACAGAGGCAAAGAGTTCCCCAGTGTTTCCTGAGCTGGGCTCACCGTGCAGACATCGACATAGTGGCTCTGGGGACAGCCTGGGCTTCTTTGGGTTCCTCTGCAGACAGCTGTGAACAGACTCTGGTTGTCACCTGAAGAAGGGGCCAACACTGTTCTGTCTCCACAGACACTGAACCTGAGAGAAGAAAGAGGAGGACTGTTCCTATGAGAAAACCCAAATCAAGAATGGCAAAGTCCACCACTGTTAAAGTAGAGAAGCTGTCTAGAAGACCCAGGTCTGGCACCTTGCAGCACAGGGCTTTGCTGGTTTTTGCTACTTCCACTCTTTCAGCAGGCAGATTTTTCCCCAGAGCTTCCACTGCTCCATGCTTCATTACCAGGCCCTCTCAGATGCAGGCATGGGTGGCCTGTGAGTCTGAACTGTAGAGTTACTGGGGAAAGGAGAAAAATGTTGTAGCAAACCCCCAACCTTGCGCATCTCATGCACTTCATCCTCAGTCACTCCCTGGCATGCCACCTGTACTACAGCTGGGCAACTCTTAGATTCCCCCACAAAATCACGTGATATCAGCTTGTGACAACACATAAATCTCTGTACTCGTTGACCACATAAATGTCCATATGGCTCACGTGTCACCTCCTGGGAATACTCCAGTCCAGAGTTCTCGCAGCTTCACATACATCAGGATATAAATGGTAACCAGGACACAAGTCCCGAGTAGGAGCAGCTCTTATTGTTCATTGTGAAAGTCAGTCTCAGGAGCCACACTTAAACAAAGAAAATGTTTGACACAGGCCACTGATCTTCAAATAAGGGTTTGCTAACCTCATAAATAACCCAAAAACCTTCATCCACTCCCAGCTCTGGTTTTCTAAAGCTCTGCTGAATCTTTTTAATGTGGCTGTCCTCTGGCTTTACAGCTGTTGACAATTTTCTGATCTACCAGTTGCAAGCGGCAAGGGTTTTACACTTCAAAATGTCCTCTCCACGGCCAAACCCATGAAGCCCTCTGCCATCCAGTGGCACTTTACTGCTCATTCTCAGCAAATGCCAGAGGGCAGCACTACCATCTCCTCCCACCAGTGCTTCCAGGTGCCCCTTCCTTACTTGCCTCCTTCCCCAGTCTCTGCAGGGCTGTCCCACTCCATTTACAGGTTCTGAGGTCTCTGGCACGGTCCCAAAGTCCTGCCTCCTCCTTGACTCCTTGGGTGAAACCTCTTCAGGCTAAGATCAGTCCCTTTGGATACGTGGCAGCAAAGCTGTTGGGCAGGTGCACCTACAACAGATAAGAAACAGCTTGTCAGGAGATTTCCCCCCTGGATTCCCAACTGCTTGGTGGATGTGCAAGGCACACAAGGGAAGCTGTGCTCCACCAGTATCTTTACTGGCCCATCTGCTTTACAGATCCCCAGGCACCACTCATCCACATGTTTGTAGCTCTTCTTCAGGTGTCTCAGTCCTGGAGAAGCAAGCATAGAGGTCCTGGCTCTCTTCCAGGTTACTGGTGGCACAGAGATCACTTCTCCTGGCATCTCCTCGTGTACAGGCACTTCATGAAAGTACTGCACAACCCTGCCCACCTGCAGTTCTTCAAGCATTTCCTCAAGGAGCGCAACGCAGATGAACCACTGTGTTTCTGGATGGCTGTGGAGAAGCTAGTCGCAGAGACCAACCCTAAGATGAAGAACCTCCTTATTAACAGCATTGTTGGAAATTATTTCCATGCCAAAATCCCAGCTGGTAGGCACCTTCCCACCCTGCACTTTACTCCATTCATGATGAAAGCCTCCTTTCCCTGAGCTGGATGCTGGTTGCAGGTTTTATATCCCCTTGAAGGGACCTGCCAATTCTCCTTTGCTGTCTAGTGGAGTATTTATTTGCTGAGGCCTTCCGCTGCCACTTGTATTTCTATGAAGGTGGTCTATTTCTTTGGCAGAATCTACTAACCAAGGCCTGCAACATGCAATTCCTGTAGTGGCCGAAATAGCTGTTCCCTAGCTTGTCACCTTTAGATGCTCTTGGAGACACAGCTTCACTCACAAAGTATGCAATTAGCGCTGTACAGAAAGCAAAACGGACTAAAAACCAAAATTCAGCAAACAGCAGGCAGGGCAGGCAGGCAGAGATGGAACAGGGGGCCACTTACAGATGTGAGGGTAGGAAGAGATGTCACGGTAGCTCAGGGGTGGCTGGCAGGGACAGGCAGTAACTGCACTTCTCTTCCAGAGGAGCAGCTGGACTGTCACACTTCCATCATCAAAGAAATACATGAGGCAGAAGTAGTCAGCCCCTTCATGTTGATGACAGCACAAGTCTTTGTCCAGAAGGCAATGGAAAAACGATGGTGAGGACCTGGTTTGAGCTGGTTCCTAAATCCAGGGGTTACACAAACACATCCTTCCCATGGGAACCTGAAGGTGACAGACAGCAGCTGCTACAAACATATTTCCGTATGAACTATCAGATGGTGCATCAAAATCCCAGCCAGACCCTCATCCCAGCAAAACTGTGGTTCCAGCTGCTGATGCATTTGCCTGTGCAAGGCTAGCAGGACTTTTCCCATGGACACCAAATCACTGCTGGGCTTGCAGGGTGCTGAGATGGAGGAAAAAACATGCTGCAGATAAGCAGGGTGGACACTCCCCAAGCAAGCTACATGCAAGAACAGAGCCCAGGGGAGGGGATTCAGCTCCCTGTCCCTTTCTCCAACTCTCTCCAGGTACAGAAGTCCTGTGAGACTCCATCCCCAGGACTATCCCTGTCAGCTGCTCCCCACATTCCATCACCCTCCCACCAAACCATTGCCCTCCTCATGCATCTGTTTGCCCTTGATGGTCTCTCACTGGTCTCATATCTGGCAGGTTTAAAGAGTACCAGGACCTGTTTCGCCCGAGTGATACACATAAGTCTAATCTTTTTTTCCAGCATGGGATGGGGAACTTCAGTACAGACAAACTGGTAGGG